GGGGGAGAGAGAAGGAGAGAGGGGGAGAGAGGGGGAGAGGGGAGGGGAAGAGAGGGGGAGGAGAAGGGGAGAGGGGGAGGGGGGGGAGAAAGGGGAAAAGAGGGGGAGAGGGGGAGAGGGAGAGAGGGAGAGAGAAGGTGGAGGGAGAGAGGGAGAGAGAAGGGAGAGAGGGAGAGGGAGGGAGAGAGGGAGAGGGGGAGGGGGAGAGAGAGAGAGAGAGGGGGGGGGGGGGGGGGGGAGGGGGAGAGAGAGAAAGAGAGAGAGAGGGAAAGGGAGAGGGAGGGAGGAAGAGAAAGAAAGCAAGCAAGCTAGCTGAGCTGTGGTGGTGCACACCTTTGATCTCAGCACTCGGGAGGCAGAGGCAGGAAGATCTCTAACTTCAAGGCTTGCTGCTCTACTCAGTGAGCCCAGAACAGCCAGGGCTTCACAGAAAAAAAATATCTTGTCTTGGAAAAAAAAAGAAAAAGAAAAGGAAAAGAAATTGGAGGAAAGGAATGCCACTTGGTGGTAGAATACTTACCTAGAGTGTGTGAAACCTTTGGTTCAATCCTCAATATCCAAACAGAAAAGAAGAAAATAAAAGGATATTTCTCATTCAGAACACCTCCCACTCTGGGGAGTTCTTTCTCACTTTTCCTTAATAAATCTGTGTTTTGTCTCCAAAAAATAAATAGTATGTAAATAAATAAAAAGACAGAAAATAAGTGGCGAACCAGCCTGCGTCCATCTTGGGCTTAAAAGCCGTGGTGTAGTAACAACAGACTCGTTCCTGTTTATGACTAAACCTCTGTTTCGCCTGTCACTTTAACTACAGATAGCGCTGGACGGCCTGGGCCTGTTCCAGGAAAGGACAACTATATCTTTGTTTCAGAAGTTGTAACAGGCATCTTGCAACCTCACCTTCGTTTCCAAAGGTTATTATGACTGCCTGCAATGACCACCTTGTGATCATGCCTTTGCTTCAAAAAGTTATGATCGACTCATTGTGCTTCTATCCTGCTCCTATAACTCCCCCCATTTTCCCTCATTTGGAACCCCCTACTCCTGAGCTATTAAAGCCTTGTCTTCCTCACATCCGAGGCTGACCTCTTGAACCCCACTTATTGGGAGTTATCCTGTGTACAGGAATGAAAATGCTTGCTTTAATTGTTGTTTCAGTTACTTTGGCCATGATGATGTGGGTTGGTGGTCGGCCTTTCTCCTTGAATCTTCAGGGTTAACATTAGGAAAGGAAGAGACAGAGTGACCTTTCCTCTCCTCTTGACATCTGAACAGGCGCTTCACTCTTTCACTCAGATGTATTTTGTGAACGCTGACCAAATACCTGAAATGGCCATACACAAGAGACAGAAAGGCAAAGGCTTCCTTCTGGAGCATAGCCTGGGGAAGGGGTCTTAGCATGTGGACCCCCTTGGGTCATGAGCATGGCTGTAATAAAGATGGCTGAAGAGATGGCTCAGCAGTTAAGAGCAATGGCTGCTCTCCAAGAGGAGCTGGGTTAGATTCCCAGCACCCACATGGTGGCTCACAACTGTCGGAAACTCCAGGTTTAGGGGATCCAACGCCCTTGTCTTGTTTCTGCAGGCTTTGCATGCATGTGGCGCATAGACATACATGCAGGCAAAGCACCTATGGGTTTGGGTTAATGTTGAAGAAGAAAGAGGAAGAGGAGGAGGAGAAGGAGGAAGAGGAGGAAGAGAAAGAAGAAGAGGAGGAAGAGGAGGAGGAGGAGATGATGACTAAGAATAAGGACTTCCTCTTCCCTGTGAGACAACCTTTCACATTAAAAGACAGAATGGAGATATATCCTTGCTCTACAAGGAGAAAGGGGGCAGAGATAAGGGATCACGTGTTTTTCTAATCACAAGATGGGGGTCATCCTGACAGTGGGCAATCGTGACATGGCACCCCTCCCCCCCACCATGGTGATGGCCATAGCTTAGGCAAGAGGACTTTCTGGAAGGAAAGGGGCTGAGGTTCACTTTGCATTTCTACTCTTGAGTTACAGAAATCAACTTTGATGAACTATGGGATTCAGATGACTGGATTCTAGGTTTTGGTTGTTTTTTGTCTTTTGAGACAGGGTTTCTCTGTGTAACGCTGGCTGTCCTGGAACTCATTCTGTAGACCAGGCTGGCCTCGAACTCACAGAGATTCTTCTGCCTCTGCCTCCTGAGTACTGGAATTAAAGACATGTGCCACCAATTCCTGGCATCTCTAGGGATTTAGTGACAGTGTCCCTTTCCATAGTTGGGGCTAAACCTGGCAGAGAAGAATCTAGAACTATGCCAGCCAATATGTGGACACTTGTAGCTAATGAGCACTTAAGTCTTATGATTTTGTTCATTGATGGATTTATTTATTTTTATTTGGCACAGAGCCCCCCTATTTAGCCTTGGTTGGTCTGGAACTAACTTGCTGCATAAACCTTGAATTTACAAGATTCACCTGTCTCTGCCTCCTGAGTGCTGCAATTAAAGGCATGAGTAAAGGCATGAGCCATCATGCAGGTTAGAAGGCATGTTCTTTTGCATGTAGACCCATGTGCCACGACAGGCATGTGGAGGTCAGAGGACAACTTTGTATACGTCAGTTCTTCCCTCCTGTCTTAATGGTAGTCTCAGAGGCAACAGTCAGGCTGAGGCTCCCAGTAAGCCCCTTTACCCGGTGAGCTACCTCATGGGTTTAACTTTGCCCCCTTTTAAACACAAATTTATGACATTATCTATTTATTTGTATGTACTTGAGTGTGCATGCATGCAGGTGCCCACAGAGGACAAAGGTGGTAGTTAGCCACCTTACGTGGGTGCTGGGAACTGAACTTCATCTGTCTGAGCAATCTTTTCAAGCCCCACCCCCTAACTCTGTTCTTCAGGCAGCAGATAGATCCTTCTTTAAATGTTTACCATAGACTACCTGTGGCTGTCCCCATCAAATACCAAAGAGACCAGAGTCAGTGCCCCGCTGGTCAGGAGCAGAGGGACCTGGGCTCTGTGGGGATCAACTTCCAGGGGCCATCAGCTCTGCAGAGCTCACAGGGGGCACTGGGATGACCTGGCCCCAAAATTATACCCCTTGCTTATATCTTCACTTCCAATACCCTATTCTCGACAATTCCCAGACCGTGTCTCTTGGAGACTCTTGGCTAACAACTCATGGCTCCCACATGCTTACCTCATTGTGTGTACCTGGGGAAACTCACCTTTAAAACAAGATTGATTAACCTTACTGTGGATATTGGTCATGACCTTGGGTTGAGGCCGTGTGACACAGTCCTGAGTGTGTGTGTATGCGTGCGCATGTGCACGTGCGTGTGTCTGGGGTAGATGGGGGGAGGGAGTGCCAGGTCCTGAAGATGGGTTTGATGAGGATCAAGACCTTATGTTCAGAACAGTAAGAGCTTCATGACCATGAGGGCCACATGTGATCCACATGACTTGCGATCATGTCTCGGAAGCCACAAATACCACCCAGAGCCACGTAATTTCCCGTGGACGGCTTATTTTATTGCTCTTTATTTTGGCTCTTCCCCAAACACTTCTCAGTCTCCATCTTGGCTTCTTCTCCAGGAAGTTGATTCTGCCTGGTTCCCGCCATCTTCCTGCTGTCCCCACCGCACTTCACAGAGCATTTCAAAATTAACATTGAAACAGGAACTGGTGTAGCCCAGAACATCTGGGCCTAAGTTAAAAAAAAAACAAACCACACAGTGAGGGTAGGAAGAGCAAGGAGTCCACAGGGTGGGGCATCCACACTCGGGGGAGTCACACTGGATGAGTAAGTGAGATGGGACAGGCAGTGTCTGAGTCCTGGAGTTCCAGAAATTGCTGAAACAGCCAACAGGGAGAATTGTAGCACAATCTACAAAGACAAGCGGCCTCCATGTGGGAGGTGCTCACTTCCTCCTAACGCAGATAAAAATAAAAGCAGTAAAGTCACTTTAACCGAACACCACACACGAGGAAACCCCACATCTCCAGATCAGCTCCCTCAGAGGGGTGCCTGTGTTCTCTACTCTGGAGCAGGAGACAGGATTTGGAGCTTTGCTCTCAAGGGCAGGAACCACTGTCCCCAGAGACAGAGGATGACATGACAGCTTTGGAGGCTCTGGGGCCTGACCTGGCATGGCGCTGTAGGCCCAGCTGGATGGAAAAGCAGACACAGCCCTAGTTCTTGAAGGCAGCGACTGTTGTCTTGAATGCTTATTGAATATACTGGGTAGTGTTTCCAAAGAGCCTACCACAGCAAGGGGAAAGGACGGCCATGTAGATGTGAGTTTTGTCTGTTGGGGACAAGCGAGTCTCTGGCTAGCTTATTTTGTCAGAGTCCAGGTCTCTGCCCTCTGCTCAGTGGCATACGACCCATTGATTGCATAGCTGAGGAAGAATCCATGATAACAATCTTGTTCCCCTAAGAATGGAGGCCTGTAACCCTTTCTAAGAATGGAGGCCTGTAACCCTTTCTAAGAATGAAGGCCTGTAACCCTTTCCTTGGTTAAAAAACAGGACCGTTTAACCCTTCAAAGTAGAATTAATATTTCCTATCTTCTTGGCCTTAAAGGACCTTCTTTATTTTATTTTTTATTTTTTAGATAACCTTTATTTTACTTTACTTGTATGTGTGTTTGAGTGTGTGTATGTGAACCATCTGTGTGCAGAAACCCGTGGAGGGCAGAAGAGAGCACTGGACCCCCTGGAACTAGAGTGATAGGTAGTTGTGCGCCACCACCTGGGTGCTGAGAACTGAACCCCAGAACTCTGCAAGAGCAGCAAGTGCTCTGAACCACTCGACCTTAACCACAGACCCTAAAAAAATGTATTTATGTGTATGGGTTTGTGCACACGTGTGCAGCGCCCTCAGCGGCCAGAAAAAGGTATTGGATCCCCTGGATCTGGAATTCCAGACAGTTGTGGGTGTTAGGTCATCTTTAAGAGCAGGGAGCATTTTTAATTGCTGAGCCATCTCTACAGCTCCGCGGGGCCTTTCTAGTGAAGCAGAGGGGATAAATTTCCCTGTATCTGGATGGAAGGCCTTTGGAAAGTGTGCTGGGAAATTCCACTGCTGGAGCAGTAGCTAGCTGGGAAGTGACCACTGAGCTGGAGCACAGCCAGCATCCTTGGACACTGGGGCCAGCATCTAAGAGGAGGGACAGGCTGTTTCTCACCCTCAGGAGGCCTGAATCTGCCTGGTGGCAAAGAAACTGTGTAGCTGCTGGAGGGGCAGTGTCCAGAATAGAACAAGGGAAAAGAGGCCCACGGACTGGCCAGAGAATTGAGGACCAGGTGAGAGAACGGAAATAGCGCTGGCCGGCAGGAGCATCTTCATATACTGAATTTTGGACCGTGGATGCTAGTCTGAGACCTCCCCCTCCGCCCAAATTTGGGCAGGATGCATCCACAGAAAATGAAGAACTCTCCTCTGCTAAGACCTATTTCTGGAAGATTCTAAACTGAATGATTGGACCCTCAGGGAGTGGGGACTCAGTGTACCGGAATCTGTAAGGAATGAATGGGTGCAGGGAGCCCCAGGAGGACCTGAGGGAGGAGAGTCTGGAGTGATGGTACCATCTAAAGGATGCCAGGACTCTGGCCCTGGTCCTTGTGGTCTACCTTGATGGGTGACCTCAGAGCCTCCCTCTCTCTCCCCTCATTCTGATTTGGCGTAGAGGCTGAGAATTCTTGGGGGACAGTCTGACTACATGATTTGTTGAAGTCCGCTTTTCCCTGCCAGAGCTCTGCACACTAACCACAGGTCCTGATAGTTTCAGGTGGGGGGATGGTGGGGCTTACTTGGAGTGGCTTCAGTGGACACTGAGGTCCTTCTCCAGGGGACAGTAAGGCACATATATCCCCCAATCCCACCCGCTTCTTGTAGGGAAAGGTCTTGGGGGCACAGGAAGGACCAGGAGACCGCAGGGGAGGAAGAAACGTCAGGGTCCCTCGCAGTCAGGGCACCATGTGCCACCACTTGAAGGTGAAGGGCTTCCGGCGGACATTGGTGCCACAGTGAACCTCTCCCAGGAACTTGTGGTAGGCAGAGATATCATCGATGAAAGTGCAGGCAAGGCCCAGGGGCTCCAGCAGGCCTCGAACATGTGTCTCTAGACAGCACACCTCTTCCACCTGGGGCCCGAAGGGCTTGGGGATGCCCAGGTCTTTGTCTAGCACGATCATGTTCACCTGGGAGGGAGGGGAGCAAGTGTTTAGGGAGCAGCCACTGTTTGCCTGCGGGTGTCAAGGCCCTCGAGTTATAGTCCTATGTAGGAAGTGTTATCAGGGATCCTCCTTTAGAGGTGGGGAAACTGAGGCACAGATTTTGAGCTAAGCCTGGTTTGTGCCGTGATATTTTTTGCAAAGCACTCTCCTATCTGTAATGGGCAGGGGACACATAGTGAGAAAGCAAGGTTAAGCATGTCACCCCCAGCAGGGAACAGAGGAGCTCAGAGAGGGTAAGTGCCAGAGGTGAGGTGGCACAGCATGGCACAGCAACTCAGCTGGGCTCTTCTTGGGCTGGCTGTACCCTGTTAGGGGTGGCTTGAGGGGATGAGGCTGGAGTGTCTCACCATGTTAGGGAAGAAAGCCCTGGCCTGGCGGTCTTCATCCATCTTGAAGAGAGCAGGCAGGTCAATGATGTCCTTCTCAGTCAATGCCAGCTCCTTCTTAAGGATGTCACGGTTCCAGTCCAGACAGCGCTGGGGGAGGGGGAAAGGGGAAGCATTGAGGTCAGGGGACACACACCTGCTTAGCTGGCATCCCTGTCACCTCTCCAGCATCTCTCCACCAGAGATAAGGGAAAAATAATTTTTTTTTGAGACAGATCTCTCTTTGTAGCCTTGGCTGTCCTGAAACTCTCTATATAGACCAGGCTGGGCTTGAACTCACAGAGATCCACAGGTGCTAGGCCTAAAGGCGTGCCCCACTATGCCTGGTTTAATGGTCCATTTTTCAAAAATGACTCGAGGAAGAGCTACACATGAACAGAAAATGCTAGACTCTTGTTAATGCTTGCTAGTCTAGTCACCCCCTCCACCCAACTTAAACTTTCCAGTAGAAAATGCTAGCATGAGCTTGCCTACAGCCAGCAGCTGTGACAGCCACGTTCCTGACAACTGTAAAAACGCAGTAAACCAGAGACTGAACTCAGCACAGTCCTCTCTGAAAACCAGACAAACTTAAATGACAGAGACCCAGGTGACCAGCAGGATTGTTTCTTCCTGCTTACCCAGCTCATGAGGCAAGCCGGGAGGGGTGGGCCTTAGAGCTTAAACTCTTCTCAGCTGTCAATCACTGCCCCCCCCCCCAAGCTGGGCTTTGCAAAGCTGTAAGATAAACTGCCTGGCTTTGATACCCTGCTTTTCCAGAGCTCTTACTACAGTGTGTGTGTGTGTGTGTGTGTGTTTCTTACAGGGATCATATCATGGATGGAAAGTCAGAGGTCAGCCCCAATGAGGTCCAGTAGGTCCTGCTTCAGAGAGTGGTTGGGTTGTACCAACTTCTCTGAGCTTCAGATGAGAGCCAACTGGTGATCTCTTGCCACTTCCTTCCACCTCAGTGGTTAAGCCGTGTGTGTGTGGGGGTAGGGGGTGTTACAGTGACTCATGACTGAGCAAACTGATATTGGGAAACTCCCCGACCATGGTCATCAGTTCAGGTTGACCCCAAGGAAGAATGAGATGCAAGGTCCTGTTCAAATGCCACAGGGCATCTAAGAGCTCTGTTTTTGAGGATGCTGTGCTGGTATTTATGTGAAGCTTTGAACCTCCGCAGTCATGAGGGTACCTGTGCATACCAACCAATAGAGCTAGCACAGATGGCGCCCTGATCAGCCTGTGCCTGAAGTCCACACAACCACAGAACTTTGAACAAACTCCACCCAACCCTGACCAGGCCCTGTGTTGAGACTACTGCCCCCTTTCCTCACTTCCATTGCCTGACTCAGTTGCCCACTGTGACCCACATCCTGATAGCAAGGTCAGGGCAGGGTCTAAAGATAAAGTCTGCCCTGTCTGGACAAATAACTCTGTGAGAGAGAAACTTTGGGTTTGCAGGTAACCGGAGTTAAGTTACACTTGACTTCCCTCTTCCCTAACCTCCTATATAAACCTTAAGTACCCTCTCCCTCTTCCGCAGACACCCCTTTTCTGCTGTGTCTGCCCCTCACTGTTTTAAGTAAGCAGTCTAGTCTGTTGAGGCCAGCCTCCGTTTTATTTTCTGCCTCTTGACTCTTCAAACTGACTTAGAAATCCAAACACCCTGCATTCTCGTGAGTCAAGTGGGCCATTTGCTTTAAATTGTTGTTTCTGCTTGGTCCCCCTTCCTTTTCTTTCTTTTTTCTTTTCTCTTTCTTTCTTTCTTTCTTTCTTTCTTTCTTTCTTTCTTTCTTTCTTCCTTTCTCTCTCTCCCTCTCTCCCTCCCTCCCTCCCTTCCTTTTTTCCTTCTTTCTTTTGTTCCTTCTTTCTTTCTTTTTTTTTTGAGACTGGGTTTCTCTGTGTAGCTCTGGCTGTCCTAGAACTATAGACCAGGCTGGCCTTGAACTCACAGATCCACCTGCCTCTGGCATAACCTAGGTCATCGTTAAATGGAATCCAAGGCTTGCTTTCTGTCAAGGCAATAGCTCTACCAATGGAGCTACTTCTCCCGGGTGCTGGGTTTAGTGTCTGTTGCACCTTTTAAGACTCAAGCAGAATGTCATGGCCATGTACACACTTTCAGGGACGTGTGAGATGCCAAAACTCCAGTGAGGGATGTGTTCAGGCCACCACTGTCCAGGCAGCAAGTCTGAAGCTTTGGTGTCCCTTTAAGGGGACTGTGCTCTGAGCACTTGTCTGATAGAACAACTGCTTTCCCATCTCCTGCTGGGCTTGCAGCTCCTTAAGCCTGAGGCCCCTCTTGGTGCAGAAACACAGCAAGCAGGTCCAGCAGGTGCTTGGCTGAGCCCTCTCAGGGCTAGAAGCCTCAAGCTCCTTACCTTTTTCCATAGAACCAGACTCTGACAAGACAGCACACCATTTGCTGTCCCTTCCTGCCCTCCAGTGTCCCCTCCCCCCACCCACTCCTGTACCTGAAAGTACTGGTTTTCCTGTGTGAGGCTTTCATTGGACAGGATCTTGTTGATGGTGATACGCTTGCTGCTCATGCCGCCCAGGCCTGTGGGGGTCAGAGGATGACAGTGAACCTCAGGGGCTTGCCTGGGTGTCCCATCTGAGCTACTTGCTGGCAGTGGGGGATGGGGTGGGAGTGAGGTGGGGAGAGGGGGAAGGAGGGTGGTCTCTTTTTAATCAGGGAGGCATGTACATTTCCCTTTCCAGATCCACCATGTTTCCTAAGCCAGGAAGGGGATGTAGGCACCTTGCGCTCTCTGGCAGGAGGAGAAGACGCCTGAGTGCCCTATTTGAACGTTAGCAGCTGACCAGGGTTCAAACACCCCTCCTGTGGTTCTCAGTGTCTGGCCTGGAGAGAGGCACCTTTGACTCCAGCTCCATAGCCTGGAGGCTTTAGGCCAGATTAGTGACATCCCAGTGCCTGCAGTCTGTTCTTTGGTCGGAAGCCAGGATCTTGTATACACTAGATAAGCAATCTTTTAGATGCTTAATGTGGATTAATTTAATGGTCCTCCCCAAACAGTCTTCCCCATGTTCCTGTGAGGTAGCTGCCACTGTTAAAGGTGAGGAGGCTGAGTCCCAGAAGTTCCAGGATTCTCTAAAGCTTCCCCACACAGCAAACGGCCACACAGGCAGCCGGACCACAAGGCTGTGAGCCTTGTATATCTGATTAACATTTTTCCATTTATTTATTTATTTATTTATTTATTTATTTATTTATTTTAGAGTCTGTAGTATGGGTTGGCCTGTAATCTGTAATCTCCTGCCTTGCCTCCCGAGTGCTAAGACCGTTATATTTTATTTTTGCTTGACCTAGGAATAGCCTGCCTGTCAGCTCTCTGCATGGCCTAGACTTGTAATATCACAGCACCAGAGAGACCAGGGCTGTGGGACCTTGCGCCTGCGCTGCCACCACACCACGGTCCTCCCTGTGACTGTATGGCATTAATACATCTAACCATGGGGTGTGTAGGCAGCATTTGAGGCAAGCTTAGGATAGAAAGGAAGCTTCTAGAAAGTCAAGCCTCATACCTGCTAACCCAGAAAAAACTTGCCATCAGGAGGTTAAAACAGAAGGCTAGCAGTGTTTTTCTTTCTTTCTTTCTTTCTTTCTTTCTTTCTTTCTTTCTTTCTCTCTCTCTCTCTCTCTCTCTCTCTCTCTCTCTTTCTTTCTTTCTTTCTCTCTCTCTCCTTTCTCTCTTTCTCTCTTTCTCTCTTTCTCTCTCTCTCTCTTTCTTTCTTTCTTTCTTTCTTTCTTTCTTTCTTTCTTTCTTTCTTTCTTTCTATGTTGTTTTAGTTTTGTTTATCAAGACAGGGTTCCTTTGTGTAACAGCCCTGGCTGTCCTGGAACTCACTCTGTAGACCAGACTGGTCTCAAACTCAGAGCTCCACCTGCCTCTGCCTCTGGAGTGCTGGGGTTAAAGGGGTGTGCCACCACTATCTGGCTACAATGGTAGTCTTAAGTGAATCTGTTCTGGACACGAGCAACACCCCAGTCCCACTCACTAGACACAGGACAACAACGTAGCACTAACCAGTGACTATGTTAGGATACTAAGCTGAGATGCGGCAAAAAGTAATTTAAGGAAAAAAGAAATGTCTAACAGGACAGATAAGGTAGTGATTATTAACAATAGTATAATATATTGGATGGTAAGACACAATGACCGATACATTGTATCTATTTTACCCCAGCAAGTGTGAAGGCGTGCTGTGGTAGCGCTCCCCATGCTGCCTGGCAGGGTTCCCCCAGCTGATTCTCTTTCTCATGTTTAATTCAGGTGCAAAAGTCATCCCTGGCTCTGCCCCACTTAGGAGGGAGACAGAGCCTCACTCCAGACCCTGCAGGCAGGATGTCACTGAAACCACTTCCCTCCTAGGCCACCAGTTTCTCTCCCCTCTTTACTGTTCTGGGGGGCGGGTGGGGTACGGCAGAAGGGGATGTGGCTTGGCGGAAGAGTGCATGACCCTCTGAGGAGGTCCTGGCTTCCGTCCCACTGTTTTGAAAACACAAGCTCCAGGTACAAATGCCATGCCAGTCTGGGTCCTTGGATCCCCCCTAGGTCTGGTGTCCTAGTAAATATTAGTTCTAAAGACATACTTTGCCCTTCTCTCTTTTGAGACAGGGTCACATGACCTTGGAGTTAGGACTCTTCAGCCCCCGTCTAGGAGTGACAGGGCTGTAGGCAAGCAGGACCACACCTGGGTTATGCAGTGCTGGGGATCGAACCCAGGATTTTGTTCCTGCTAGGCACGCACTCCATCAACCCCACATCCCCAGCCCTGAGTGATCTTTGGTTTGGGTTTGGTGGTGCAGCTGGGTGCTCAGAGACAAGGTCCATCTTGAGCTCTGCGGGGCTTCCTGCCAAGAGCTTGTGATCACTCACCCTTGAACATAATGGCCTCCCCGTGGCCTTCCTTCTGCTTTTCTCTGAAGAGCTGGTAGCAGGCAGAGGTACTGGCCATGAGTAGCCGAAATTCCTGCAAGAGATACCCGAGTGGGTGGCACATTGTCGGGGGTGGGGATGTGGGGGGGAGGTAGCCAGGACACCAGAGGGACTAGAGCCATGGCTGCCCAGCAGTTCATGCCTTCCATGCTGAGTGCCACTGGCTTCCTAGGAAGGTCTGTCTGTCTTAGGGACTGACTGACTGTGTCTCTTTTCTTGTGACCCGAGCTGGTGGCAGCGAAGGGCTTCCCCAAAGGGACAGGCAGTTTGCAGAGAATCTGAGGATGCACAGAGGCAGCCAGTCCTTTCATTTCAAAAAGGACGGTCTGCCCCAGAACCTTCAGCCCAATCCCATTTCCTGGACCACTGTGACCAATCAGCCATTATCTGGGTGTGACGGAGCACATGAATTGCTAGTCCAACCTGAGGTGGGCTGTAAGAGTCGAAGAGGAAGACTTGACTTTAGAAAAAAAAAAGGATAGAAAATAATAATTTTTACATGGGGGCCAGCATGGTTGGCAATGTCCTTGCTGTACAAGTGTGAGGACCTGATTTTATTTGGTCACCCGTACTCACTTTGGGGAGAAAAAAAAAGCCAGGCACGATAGTGTAATCGCAGCATCGGAATGGAGAGAGGTTTGGGGGTTTGAATAAGAATGTCCCCTACAGGCTCCTATATTTGAATGCTTAGAAACCAGGGACAGGAACTCTTTAATAGGATTAGAAGGATAAAGGGGTGTGGTCTTGTTGAAGGAAGTGTGTCACTGGGCGGGGGAGGGCCTTGAGGTTTCAAAAGCCCTCACCAGGCCCAGGCCCTTGCACAGGTCCCCTCTCTCTCTCTTCCCTAACCTCCCTCCCCCTCCCCCTCCCCCTGCTCACCAGGATGCTGCTGTCAGCTGTCCCTTCAGTCCCATGTGTGCCACCATGCTCCCCACCACAGTGATAACAAACTAAACCTATGAAACCGTAAGCCAGCCCCAAGTAAAGGTTTTCTTGTTTCATCAAGATTGACCTTGGTCCTGGTGTTTCCTCACAGCAATGGAAGAGTGACTAAGGCAGAGGGGGAGGGGGAAACAGAGGAAGCGGCTCCCTGGAGTTATTGGCTGGCCTATTGAGCTCCAGGATAAGTTATCAAAAGATAAAATAATAATTAATTGAGAAAGGCAGTGGGCCTCAATCTCTGACTCCTAAACACAGACAGACAGACAGACAGACAGACACACACACACATATGTACACACAGCACACACCTTTAGGAACATGTATGTGCAACACAAAATAACATTTTTCATACTGCTTACATGTGGAACTATTGATCTCTTGGATTTGTGGGTTTAAAACTGCCTGCCATAGCCACAACATTACAAAACCACCTTCAGCTGCTCTCTCTTTGTTCTAGATCCCACGGTCTGCGGCCAAGTCTGGCAGGGCACGGATTCTTGGCCACGGAATTCACTCTAGTCTTAGGCGATCAGCTCACCTTTTTGCCTGGGATGGGGACAAAGGTCATAAACTCATCGACGTGGCCTACAGTCAGCCAGTCGGAGTAGAGTTCCACGGGCGCCTGCACCTGCTGGGCCTGCAGGAAGTCGCGCACCACCTTGGTCATCCTCCTGCCTCCAGACCTAGGGCATAGTTGGAGAAGAGGAGCCTTTGAGCAGATTTTTCTTGTGTCCTGGCATCTGGAACCCAGGCCAGATCTGGGTGGTGCCAGCAAGGGCACAGAGTGGCACCTGAGCTGCAGACCTGAGACCCTGGTGCAGGCAGAGGGCATGGGAGCCCCAGGCCCGAAAAGGGTACGGCCACTGTCACACCAACATGGACAGCTTAGAGCTCAGCCTGTGGCCCAGGAATTGGCCGGCAAGCAGCTGCAGCCAGCTTCCATGCTGAGCATGGGACTGACATGTTTGAGACTTCCATCATCTTGGAGGCGGGGCAAAGGCTTGGCACTCCGCTGAGGCACAGGAAGTAGCGGCCAAGTGCATGTGACCACTGAGTTGGGGGAGGGTGGGCTAATGGTCATTGCCCATGTACCGCAGATAAAGGAGGATTCCATGTGGGTCAGAGGGACTTGATACTCAAATCTTGGGTGACCTCAGGTTCAAGGCAACTCTTGTGCAGTGAGTACCCAGGGCGTGCACTCTCTCTCAGCAATGTTTGGGTTAAAGTTGACTCTGCTTTTTCATTGGCTGGACTGAGAGTACAGTTATTATGGGCAGCCCAAGGAGGCAGGGACGCATGCCTGTGAGACAGGGCCATGTTTTGTCTCTTCTTTTTTCACTCAGAGACACCCCTACCCCCTCCCTCTCCCCCTCTGCTCCCTCTACCTTCGCTAGAGTCCCACACTCCTTCTCCACCCGGCTTATATCTCCCCACACATCCTCCCATTTGTGGAAGAGGGTTAGTGGGTTATACAGATTGGGTTTACAGATTTTACTTTATACAGAGATGTAAACGCTAACCTGACTTTCTCTCCACGGATGTCTATACATTTACACACCATTGAGGAAGGGGATATTTCTCCCTTAGATCCGCTCCAGGTACATACACCCCCCACGCCCCCCAAGAGACAGTTATGCTCTTGTCCCCCCACCCCACCCCCAGACACACCCCAGGTGGTCTTACAGAGGGAAACTGCTCCCGATGAGGATCCGGCCGAGTGGGTATGTCTTGCCATTCACAGTCACTGGGGGACTGACCTCCAGATTCCCGAAGGAGTCGAGGCTGGTGACAGTCTCAAAGAGGGGCTCCCGGGTCACATAGCCAAAATCCGGGCCCTGGAGAGAGAGAGGACACACATCTGCCTTTAGCCCCCTAAAGCCAGGAGCCCTCTTCCCCGGCAGCCATTCTCTGGTGACAAACCCAGTGTCACCTGCAGTCTGAAGTCTCATGCTCGAGGATAGCTGTGACTTGAGGTTGTTTCTTGCTGTCAGGGAATGTGTGAACATACTGACAGACAGAGTGGGTGTAATGTATGTGCACCCCATCTCTGCCCGGGCCCAGCTCTGTAGGTACAGGCACCGGGTGTGATATTAAGATCTGGCCTCACAGATTCTGTTGATCTTACTGGCCATCTCAGAATTTCTCTGAACTTCGGTTTCCATTTCTATGAGAGAGGCCTTCAACTAGGAGGCTGGAGGCAAGGTAGGGAACTGATTGTCCCCTGGGGTTTGCTGGACCTGCCCAGAGAGAGAATTGTGCATCCTGACCCCACTGTGAATGACTTCTGGCATCTCCCTGAAAAAGAACTCAGGGTCACATGACTTGCTCTGGCCAATGAAATATGAGCAAGATCACGGCCAGCATCTGGCATAAGTCTGCTCTTTTTCTTTTCCCACACGAGGGGAGGGGCAGCTCTCAGTCAGGCTGGGTAGATCTAGAACGAGAACTCCGCCAGCCAGCCAGTCATCAGTAAGGCTGTGAACAGCAGGAGAGACTGGCTGTTGTCAGTCACTACAGTCTGGGGCTGGTCACTGCAGCCTTATGTACTGATAACTGACGGATACACTCACCCCTACCCATCCAATCAACTGCCCATCATGCCCATAGCTGCATTCTTCGTCCTTCAGTAAACTGGATTTCATTTCGTATACAAGAGGGGAAGATCCCATTCTGGCTTTTAGGATTCCCTAAAAGATCCCATTCTGGCTTTTATATATTTATATATATTTATTCTTTTTTGATTAAAATATAGGGATCTTGTTTGGGAGTTTGTACTAGAGCAGGGAGTAACTAATTTGCCTGCTCTAAGAAACCCAAGCCAACCAAAAAGAGAACTCTGTGTGGTAGGCAGATGTTGCCTATGCTGCCTGCTAAGAGATTCGAGGGACAGGCATGTCCAGCGTGGTGCATGGCGGCAGCTTAGCACGTTCTCGCCTGGGGCCCCTCTTTGGCCATGTGTGAGCTGGCCACAGGTGGCAGCTAGGACTTTACAGCATCACACAGGCCAGCAGGCATGCAGCACAAAGCCGGGCCTGGCCTGGCCTTCGGGAACAATGCAGGCTGGACCTTGGCACCAGGTCAGCCTGGAGAACTGAAGACAAGTGGAGGCCAGGGGAAGAGAAAGGTTAGGGCTGTGAGCTTGGATTCCATTTCTGTTGCCTGTGGTAGCCCTGGGGTGGTCAATCTGATGGCCCTCTCCTCCAGTGTCAGGGAAAATGGACAGCCCCACATGGAGTGCCACAGAGGGCAGCCTCCAGGCTTGGGTGGTGAAACCAGACCATGTTAGTCACTCATCAGGCTCAGGTCTGATGCCTCTGGCGCCTCTGGCATGCCTTTGATGGAGTAACGATCCTGGTTGACAGTTTCCTGTTTTACAGATGTGTACTCTGAGGCTATGAAGGTTCAGAAGTCTGCCTGAGGTCCCCTTTCTGATATGGGGGTGCTGTTCACGACATGTCCCTCTGTCATCTCAGAGCAGGGCTCACACATCGGTTCTTCCCCATCTCCAGAGGGGACTTGGGCATGGTCACCTCTGAATGGCCCGGCATCTATAGTAGAGTCTGTCTCTCATGTGACCACGGGAAAGCCAGATCTGTTGCTGTCTCTAAAATATGCTCCACATGGGCTTCCGGCTCAAAGTGAAGGGTGGGGATGCGGAAAGATATTTTTCACTCTTCCACGTGGCTTGAGGCCACATCATGGGCGTGATAACAGCCTCCCAGAACAGCGAGAAGTCAAGCTGCCTTTGTAAACCCCACAACACTGAGATTCACATCACAAAGTCCCGGTGAACAATGACTTTGTAGACTTCTCTCTTGCCTCTTTGAAACTTACTTAGCTACAAGTTTGAGAGTTGGGGCAGCAGCAGGTTCTCATTTCCCATAATGCATCTCTCCCAGTTTAGAGAATGCATCGGACCTCAGAACCCACTGACCCATCTTGCAGATGAGACAACAGAGGCCCTGAGTGGGAGACTAGTTATCTTGGGATGCTCTACATCTCCTGACTATGCTGTCCTCTAGGAGTCCCTGCTGTCACCCCCAGACAGTCCTAAATATCTCACCAGGAGTTGCTTAATGGGGAAGTCCTTCAGTGCTCCATCTCGAGGGGAGTCCAGCACCACTGGAAAGCCTTTGTGGGGTGCCTCAATGTAGCCAAATTCGATTTCATCCTGTGGGGGAGAATAGGGAGATCTGTCAGCTGTGGCAGCACCCAGGGGTGTCTGGGACATGTTAGAGAGGGATTTAATCTCAGATCTCAGGAAGCAGAGGCAGGAGGCTACAGAGTATGAGGGCAGCCTTGGCTACATATTGAGACCCTGGCTTTAAACAAACAAACAAAACAAAACAAAGAGCTGTAAATGTAATCCAGGTGGTAGACTGCTTGGCTAACGCAGTCTTGGGTTCAAGTCCTAGTACCGCATACACTGAGCATGGTGGCACATGCCTGTGGAATCCTTAGCACTTGTGGGAACGAGTGCAGAAGGATCAAAAGTATAAGGTCATTCCCTACTACATAGTGAGTTCAAGGCCAGCCTGGGGTATGGGAGACCTTATTACAGAACCAAACCAAACCAAAAGGCACAACAAACTAGGCATGACAGTGTACACCTCCAATCTCACCACTCTGAGAGGCCAGAAGCTTGGGAATGTAAGGCCAGCCTGGACCACAAAGTGAGAGTCTGGCTCAAAAAATCAAAGCAAATGCAGGGCCATGGAGATGGCTCAGCAGGTAAAGGAGCTTCCTGCCAAGGCTGGTGACCTGAGTTTGGTCCCCTGGACTCATAGGACAGAAGGAGAGAACCAACTGCTTCAAGTTGTCCTCTGACCTCCTCCATGTATGGGCTGTGGTGCGTGCACCACCCCCAATAATCCATATAAGATTTAACACAAAAGTCACACAAGTGAGCCTGGCGCGGGAAGTACATCTCATCCCCAGCCTGCTTCCCAATGAGCCACTGATGGCAGAGGCTCTCTCCACAGACTGCCTCTGCCATCGGAAGACCACACAATTATCTCTTGGAGGCACCGACCTTACTTTTGTTTGTTTTATTTTTCTGAGACAGAGTTTTTCTGTGTAGCCCTGGCTGTCCTGTAACTCACTCTGTAGACCAGGCTGGCCTCCAACTTAGAGATTCTCCCGCCTCTGCCTCCCAAGTGCTGGGTAGTGTAAGCTACCACTGTGCTGCCTCATTTTAAAAGCATAAATGACCATATCCTAAATAAATTTCCTTCAAAGGATTGGCTCAAGCGTCTTCTGTGTCTTTGTCACAGACTGGCCTTTTTCTTTGTAACCGCCACCGAGTACTCCCTGAGAGCCCGGCACCAGTCCCTGTGGGTTCATACAGATAATTTCAGTGTAGCCTGCTGCTAGAGGCCACACTTGTTCTCTCAGGTCTCTGTGCTCCTGAGCGGACAGAGGGATCATCCACACCCGCGTGGGCAGCTGGGTGCCAGGGTGTTCACAGCGAGCCCCTTCTGGCCCTGAGCCCCTCACCTGGATCCAGCGGTCACCGCGATTCATGTACTGGAAACAAACTTTCAGTTCACAGTTGGTTTTCTCCACCAGGTTCTTCACCTCTTTGAGGAACAGGTAATTGTCCTTCATGCTGGGGAACATTGGGAAAGTGGCCAGGAGGAAGCATGAGGGGGTCGAGCGTCACCCATTTTGGGTGGTCAAGGCTGCTAGCACTCGAGACTGAGGTGTGGTGACGAGGCCCCGCCTGTATCCACGGCTACTCTGTAAAGGTCACTGGGACCACGGGCCACACAACCCTACCCTCTTAGGCAGTATTGTCAAGGTCACTGATAAATAAGACAAGGAAGGGACCTTTCACTCCACATGCTTAAGGCCCGGCCTCTCTGACTCCCCGTATTTTAGAAAGTACTGTGCCTGGGATACGGGAGACCCTGGCATGAAGGGTAGGGGTGGGCAGAGGGTCCCTTCTGATGTTGTCAGGCATCAACGTGCAGTTATTTCTTGCCCTTCCTGTTCATCTTGCTGTGCTAGCCAAGCACACAGTAAATGCTCAGTAAAATTTTGCTGGATGAGTGAGCAAAAGGAGCAGGGTACCATTGCCCAGCAAGAACCTCGCCCCACACAGTGGAGGATTGAAAGAGAACAGAGAAGCCTGGCTTTTGCAGCACACAGCCTGAGCCAGGATAAATGTATCAATGCAGAGATATCGTCTCAGTCTCAGAGAAACTGAGGCACAGAGAGGCCACCTGAACCGCTGCAGGTCATATAGCTGCTAAGGGGCAGAGACGGAGTTGGATTTAGGTGAGTCTGACCCCGAGGCCCAGCTCTTGGCCACCCTGCCACCCTGCCTGTGTGGGGTACACCTGACCCTTACCAGCACACAAACACTGACACAGGAGGCAGGATGTTAGGGGTCATAATCCAGGGTGCAATCCGGAACGTCACAGTGTCTGTGAAGATGGGTGTCAGCGGGATGCCCTGGGGGCAGGAGAGAAGAAGGACATCACAGAGTCACACTGGGTGCATGTGTGTGGTCCTAGTCTCTCTCTTAGTGGGTGAGACCAATAACAATACATTTATTGAGCACTTGCTGTATGCTGAGAACTGTGCCAAGTATCATCTTTCTTTCTTTCTTTCTTTCTTTCTTTCTTTCTTTTCTTTTCTTTTCTTTTCTTTTCTTTTTCTTTTGTTTTGGTTTTTCGAGACAGGGTTTCTCTGTGTAGCCCTGGCTGTCCTAGAACTCACTCTGTAGACCAGGCTGGCCTCGAACTCAGAAATCCTCCTGCCTCTGCCTCCCAAGTGCTGGGATTAAAGGCGTGTGCCACTGCCGCCCGGCAAGTGTCGTCGTCTTTCTATGCACGTGTGGGATTGTGTTTGTGAGTGTTATGTAGATGTGCGTGCAAGTGCCCAGGATGGCCAGAAGAGGGCCTCAGATCCCCTGAGGCTAGAGTCACATGCAGATGTGAGGTGCCCATCAGCTCTGTCCTCCTGGAAGAGCAGCAAGCGCTCTTAACTGCCGAGCCATCTTTCCGGCTCCATATACCACATATTTCTGCTTGTACCAATCCATCCCCAGGGGCTAGCTGGCACTATCTTTCCTTTTCAGATAGGGAAACTAAGTCTCAGAACTGTAAAGTCACATGGTTAGGCTTCAGTCACTCCCATTTTCCCTCCTACTTGCCCCGTCAAAGTTCCCAGGTCTGAGACGGGGACATACATGGCTGCCCATGGGAGGCCTGTGGCTCTCACCTCCGCCATGTACTCCAGCAGACTGACGTGGATGGACACCAGGCCTGAGAAACTCTCGTCGGGGAAACGGAGGCCTTCCACGAAGAACAGCAACTCCGCAGAGCCACCGGTGTACTTAACCACGTGGTAGAGCTTCTGCCGGCCCAGGATGTGGATGTAGCGCTGGCCGAAGAACGGATCTGTAGGAGGGTGGGGGGGAGGGCGGACCCACGTTAGGACCCTCTCCCATCAGGAGCCGGTCAGGGAGCTCTCTAATGTGGGGAAAAGGGACAGAGTGACTTGTCCTTTAGACACAGAGAGAAAACACCACAGGATGCTGCAAACGGGTCAACACCACAGCCTCAGCACGCTGTGTGCCTGCTGGCTTCCGGCTTCCTCATCTGGAAAATGAGCTGCTTTGGGAACGGGATGGCCAGCGTAGCACGGGAAGGTGTTATTCCCATTTTACAGAGGAGGAAACAGGCCCAGAAAGCAGAAATGGTTGGGCGGGGCTCCACATCTAATTCCAAATGGCGAGTTCCTGTTCTCTTCTTATGACTGTAACATGGGCACACCATCTGTTTGAGACATTCTTCTCCCTATCATGGAAGCCATGCTGTGTGGCTCTGTGGTGGGACGGACGGCATTCACTCCTGCCCCGTCAAACTCCCAGCTCTCTGCAGCGCTGGTCCCTCTGCCTGGAAGACTTGTGTTCTTAATCCTCTCAAGGAGTCCTTTGTCCAATCCCAGAGAGCAAGCCAGGGTCTGTGTGGACCTTCCCCATTGCAGCCTGTGCAAATGTTTGAGAGAGACAGCCCTGCCAGGCCATCTGCCTGTCTGGTACATGATTGCATTTAATAAATGTCCATTGAATGAAGTAATGACTCCCATCAGCCCCTGTGGGAGAGGCCCCACAGGGAATTTCAGGGCTGGTCCCATGAACTGAATTACTTTGGTCAGCATGAGCAAAGACCTCTGTGTCTAAAGGTGGTACTTGGTCCATGATAAAGACAGCAGATGTGGGAAGTATCTAACGGCAGCACCAGGGTGGAGACCTTATCTGTTATTCAGAGTGGGGAAGGGCAGGAGAGACTTCTGAGGAGAGGGAAGTGGCTTTGAGACACCCTTGTGGGTCAGCAGGGTGCCTGCAAGGACTTGGAGGGAGGAGGTACTTGCATTGGCAAGGGGCTGGAGCTAGGGCCCTAGAGAGTTCCAGAAGCAGCTTCTTTATGCCCTGCAAATCTGGAAGGGCAGATCAGGATCAGTTTAGCGCTTTCAACAACAATGACATCGGTTAATGACCAGCTGCCTAAGGGTTAGAACAGGGAACAGGACCATTCCGGGGATATATGACGAAGAACTGTGTTTTCCCATATATCCATTCCGGGGATATATGACGAAAAACACAGGCCTGTGTTTCGGGAGACATCAGGCTTGCGACAGCACCTCCTTTAGGACAGTGTGCTCACCTGGAACCTGATTCTGAGTGACACATGAACAGGTGACCTGATTCACTTCCCAAGTCAGAGGGACTTCAGGTCAGATATCATTTGCAAGTTACAAACCTGTGAATTACATTCATCTCTCAAACAGGTCACTCAATTGGCAACTGGGGGATAGCAGTCCCTGTGTTACAGGGTCACTACAGACGCCACAGTATCAATGTCTTCAGTAACCTTGGGAACAAGGTAACAGCTGGGACCTAAGGGGACTGGGAGGGAGGAGAATCTAGGTGTGGTGACACTGCCCCTTGCTGTGTAACTCAGCCCTTTGCCTTCCAATGTTTCTCAGATGGAAGGCTCGGAAGTAGCATCTCAGCCTCCCAGGGGCAGCGTTGAGCATTGAGATGCACACGCCCTGAAGATCCCAAGTGCCCTATCAAAGGCCAGCACAGAAAGTGATATTCTTCTCATCCCAAACACCAGCAGGTGCCCTAGGGCCCTGTCTGTGCTCAGATCCAGCCGGATGTGTATCTATGGTGACTCCCTCCTACCCCCAACATCCGCAGGACACAGGCTGTACTTCGGCTGTGCTCATGGGAGTGATGTCAAACATTGAAGCTACCCTGATCTCACAGAAGCTGATGTTATCAAGTTTCCCTAGACTCTCACAGGGTCTGGGACAGAGGAGCTATGCCTGAGGGAGGTGGGTCAGGTGGGAGGATTTGTTCTGCACAGCGGCTGGCAGCTGGTGGCTCTCTCCTCCGTATGTAGACTATGCCCCGTGATTCACAATGCATCTTCTATTTGGGGCTGCTTTCTGGCAGTTTGTGCCAGCACCAGGCAGATTGAATCTCAGGCGGGAACAACACAGCCCTTGTTTTAAAGAGTATCCATCGCTGGTCAGAGTCCCCAACTTGGTGCAGAGCCTGCCACCCCCGACATGGGCTGGCTGTCTTTGCAAGCATCAAAAATGCACTCCTATTGAGTGGACCCCAGCCTTGTGCTGGACCTGCCAGCCAACCCCTGGCCTCTCCCGAACTTCAGTCATCTGCCCTGGCTGGCCAGCACGTGGTCTGACTTCCCACAGCTTTTTTAGTGACAAGGAGACAGATAGTATGACTGGCTGTCTCAACTTGCCTGTGATGGATGAATATCTTGGCATGACAGATATCCAGTGCTAAACCCCAGGGAGGTCCTGGACAAATGGGGACAAGTTGGTTACTATGTCCTTGTGGGAGAAGGTAAGTCTCCAACTTTTGAGTAGACCTGAGACTGGAGGATCCAGTCTCTAGGTCCCCCAAGGAGCACTGGAGATTTCTGTCCATCTTGGTCCTAATAGTCACCAGTTTGTGTAATTCCAGCCAAAGCAATAGCTACAGTTTTACAGACAGCTTCTCATGGGCCAACTGGTTTGGAGAGCATGAGAGTAGGGTCCCCATAAAGCCCATGTCACACTATAGAGGCCACCCTTGGTATCCCAGGGTCCAGCTCCTGACCTTGTGAGGAATTGGACTGTCTCTCCCGGGACACAGGTCATGACATTGAAGTAACATGACATATGACACACAGGGTAGTCAGAATCAGACAAAATCCCCCCACAAGCTCACATGGAAGAAAAAGATTAAAATCCATCGTCCCCTGTGCTGGGCCATGGTGACTCAAGAGTATTCCCCTGGTTGATTGTCTATTCTGATACAATATCGACTCACTTGGGAAGGGAGGAAGCGTCTAGATCAGGTTGGCCTGTGAACAATTTTCTTAATTGGGGTAACTGAGGTGTGTTAATGTGGGTGACACCATTTGATGGGCTGGACCCTGGACAGAACAAAGAGAGAACTGACCTGTCACTGTGGCTTTCTTGCTATGATGGATGGTAACCTGGAAGCATGAGATGGCACAAACCCATTTTCTTCTAAATTGTTTTTGCTGGAGTATTTTATCACAGGAGTAGCAAACTAAGACATCTGGAGTCCATATCTAGAGGGAAACTGACTCCAGGGGCGGTCCCCAACCCAGCAGCCACCCTCCCTGTGAGATGGTGCCCCAGCTAAGACATCCAGGGGCCACTCTCCATCCACTCACAGCGGGAGCCCTTTCTCACCAGCTCAGGACCCATCTCGAATGGCAAGTGAAGGGGAGAGTTGGGAGTGGAGCCAACCCTAAGTGTACTCCTGTTAGCAAAGCAGAGAAGCATCTAGAGAATGCAGGGATATTGCTATTAGCCACAGGTCAATGCCAAGACTGAGTCAAAGCTCAGACTGAGTCCCCCTGGTCCCCCTCTGCTGCATGGCAACTCTGGTCTGGATCATGTAAACATCAGCTTCTCAACTCCCTGGGGCAGTGGAGCCAGCCTGACTCAGGACATTCCAACCAGCGGTCAGAGCCCAGGGTGGACTTCTGTCCATCAGTGTCCCAACTAAGTCACTCCTTGAGGTGAGGACCCTGCAATATTGACTGCCTGTTTCCAGTGGGTCTGTCCAGAAGGTCCCAGGGCGAAGCTCAAGGCTCTGGTCCCCAGACAGCAGACTCCACAATGTCTGACCAACTGTAAAGGGTGCTTTACAGAGGGAACGCCTCACAGGGATAGATTTTAACAGTTCTGCCCCAAACCCTCTGGGGGCTGGGGATGTGGTCCAGTTGCAGACAGCTTGCCTAGCATGTACTAGGCCCTGGGTTTGATCCGTAGCATCACATTACCGGGCATGATGGTGGTGTGTGGCTATAATCCCAGACTCAGGAGGTGGCTGCAGAAGGCTCAGAAAGTAAAGGCCACCCTCCCTTCCCTACATAGGAGTTAGAGACCACGGGACCCTGTCTCAACAATCAAAAACGAAATCCCTGAGGTGACTCTCCACTGTACTAAGGACAAACTGCAGACCCTGTCTTTGCTCTGGCCCTCCCCGCTTGGCTGGCTGACCTTGGCTCTCCCGGCCCAGCCCACTAGCCTGGTCTTGCTGTTCCTCAGAAGTACAGGGACCGTCCCCTTTTTTGAGCTTGCTGTATGCTGTGCCCTGCTTAGCTTGCTCCTCGCCAGCTCCCCCTCAGCTCTGTCTCCTCATTTCTTTTGAGTATTATCTCAAATGTCACTCCCCAGAGAGGACCTCTCTAGACCACCTAGCCAGCGCAGACTGTGCTGACATTGTCTGGGACCTGATCTGTTCCATTTCTTCTGACAGGTCTTCCTCACTCAGGGGCGGCTCCTCCAGGGCTGTGGGGGTGAAGGGACAGTTGTGTTTACTGCATGGGCACCTGGGTGGCTCAATGGCATAAGCAGATTAGATGAATAGCACCAAGGTAGAGAGCATGGTGGCACCCAGGACACCCTGTCACCACCGGGAGGAAGAAGGGCAGCTATGGCACCTCCAAGGACTTTTGAAAGTCGGAAACACTTGACACTATTTGGAGGAGGTCTTTATCTGGCCTCAGGTATCATGAAGGCCACAGGACCCTGACTTCCTCCCCTGGCCACTGGAGAGAAGTATGTAGACAGAGGACATTGAATCTTCTCAGGGGAAGAGAGAGAGATATATCTGTGGGCTCCATGGCCCCGGGGAACCTGTACACAGAGAGAAGGGCAGAGGCCGCGAAAGTGGGGGTTGAGGGATCACTCACTCTCCACGTAGAACACGCCCACTTTGTCTGAGTCCGACATGGCAATGTAGAGGACTATTTCATACCCGGCAGGCAGGCGGTCGGGGCCTTTTGTCCTCAGGATCATCTGAGACATGTCCTGGAGGTCTGTGGGGAGATAAGGGAGATTAGGAAGGGGATCCTGTGGGAGCGGGGCTCACCATTGCCTTTTCAAGGCCCCTCCTTCACGCATATAACTACCAGAAGTCTAAGGGAAAGGTACTTAGCTCCAGCACCAGGTCAACCCTCTGGGAATTTCATTTTTTCATATATATATATATATATGTATGTATATATATATAACCAGGTTGGCAGTTGGCTTGGAACTCAGATTTGCCTGACCCATCTATTTGTGTGTGTGTGTGTGTGTGTGTGTGTGTGTGCGTGTGTGTGTGTGAGAGAGAGAGAGAGAGAGAGAGAGGGAGAGAGAGAGAAACAGAGAGACAGAGACAGAGACAGAGAAAGACAGAGAGACAGAGAGACAGAGAGACAGAGAGACAGAGAGACAGAGAGACAGAGACAGAGAGAGACTAGCTTTTGGGAATCTGTTCTCTCTTTATCATGTGTGTTCCAAGAATTGAACTCAAATCATCTGGCTTCTTGCCAAACACCCTTACCCTCTGAGCTGTCTTGCTGGCCCTTCCAGGCTATTTTTTTTATCCATGCCTGTCAAGGTGCAGTTGAACTACATTTGCAGTCATTTATTTTGCACACCGAACATTTTTTGAGTCATTATCCCCTGTAGGTCCAAGTATACTCCTACCTCACCCTCTGTCCTGCCCAGGGCATAACACCATGCTCCCACTGTCCCCCAGTGTGGCCCCACAGGCACCTTGCTTGCTGTAGACCTTTTCGTCACTACAGTCCTCCTTGGGCAACCATGGGGTGTCTCGGTCACAATTCACCAGCAGGATGGCCCCCTGGCCCTCAGGACCCCAGGTCCAGGATGCCTGCAATGTCAGGGACACCATCAGTGCCATCCCTGGTTCCATCCCTGTGCAGCCTCTGAGGGATACTGAGGGACAGACACGGTAAGGAGTACTTCCTACCCTCTAGAACAGCAGCTGGAAGGCTCTATTCCTAAATCCAGTACCTAAAAGGGACCCATATTTAAGAGTACAGAGAGACAGGAAGGCTGAATGGGACATGTGGACCTCAGCTCTGGTGTGAGATGACCGTGCCTGGCAGAGGTGGTGGCAGGAACTGACATTCTAAGACAGGCTTGAGGTGACTGATTCCAGACACGCTCTGAGTGCTCCCAAGGGGGCCGGCACCTTGCTCTGCTTTCTAGCCTGAAGCTACAGTGCCCGGAGCAGACTCCAGCTGGATCATACCATTTCCCTGTTTGAAGCCCTCACTGTTAACTCAGATAAAGCCTGGATTCTCTGATCTTCCCTGAGACTGGTGAGACACGAGGCTGGGTGACCCATGGCCTGCGCATCTGATCTCTTCCACTCACTTCTGCACCCCAGAGACTCCCAGGCCTTTGCCACACTGGACCCTCTTTCCCAATCTGCTCTGCTTGGCCTTACTGTGTCGGGCTCTCCTTGAAGATGCTTTTCTGATCTCCAGGACAGGTGTCCTGCTCCCGACACCGTCCTTTCTTTCTATGTTCAGTCCGGGGCTCAGAGCTCATACAATGGTGACGACGTAGTCATCTCCATCAGTCTTTCTTGAACTTTGGTCTCTCTAGGTTTCTGCTATTCTCTGGGCCTGACCTGATCTTAGAATCTAAGAGATAAATGCATTCTTGTTTTGAGACAGGGTCTCACATAGTTGGCCTCTAACTCACCATGTAGCAGAGGATGGCCCTTGAGCTCCTGATGGTCTTTCCTCTACCTCCTGAGATCTGGGATTCCTAGCATGCACAACCACTACTAGCTAATAGAAACGGTATTTATAGGGTGAGCAAAGACAATGTGAAAACGTCACTGGTCCAGGTATGGAAAATCTCGATAAGGGACTGGATGACTTTGCCTTGATTGCTTAGCCCCAGGTCAATGCCAGGGAGCAGACTCGGGGTTTCCTGCACTGAAGGCAGGCATTCTATCAACTGAGCGACATCCTCAGCCTCCTGAGGAGTTTGTGCAGGATTATCAAGACCTACAATCTGTTTTTAAGAGATTTCCTATAAAGTGCCCTCCCTCCCCGCTTAAAGACAGGGTTTGCTTAGGTTGGCCATGAATGTCCAATCCTCTTGTCTCTATCTCCTGATGCTGACAGGTAAGGGCCACCTCTGCTGGTCCCCTTTAATTGTATTTATATTTATCTGGTTTCTTGAGATGGGGTCTCACTAGATAGCCTTGGCTGGTCTAGAGTTCTCTACATAGACCAGGCCTGCCTCTGGCCCTGAGTGCTTGGGTTAAAGGTGTGTACTAACACCATCCTCTACCACTTTAATTTAAAAGAAGAGGCACGGGGGGAGGGGGGACAAATGGCTTTCCTGGGCAGCCTCTGCCTCAGGAACATCAAGTCTTCCTTCAGCTCTGTGGCCCATGCTGGGGAAGCAGATCCCACAGGGCCTGGCTTGCCTGTGGCCCATCCCCGCTGCCGTGCTGTTTCTGCAGGCTGATTTCAGCCTCAGCCTCCTGCCCCATGCGTGCAGTGGTAGCTGACCTCTCTGGTGAACAGCTCTGGCCAATGTAGTCCCTGTGGTGTCCTCGAAGCTGCCCCCCCCCCCGGCATCATGTCAGCCAACCCATGTCAGGGTTGGGATGGTGTCCACCCTCAAGGCCAACTAACCTTCTTAGGATTGTTCTTCTCCACCTCTCCATCCCGGTCTGCATCCACATCCAGGGAGATCTCTGCAGACAAGAGACAATCATGAGCTGAAGAGCCAGCAGCCAGCTGTGGCGCCGTTGGAGGAGCCCAGTGGGAATGGGGGGGCAGCTCCCCCATTTACTTGATTGCTGGAAGGAGAAGGCCTTGCTGAGGTCATCATCTCCCGGGGACCCCCAGCAGACACAAGTAGCTTTGGAAGTGGGCGGGTCCCTGTAAACCCTGGTGGGGGCGGGGGGCTGATCTTCACAGTACAGGCATGAGAGATCCAGGTCACATGCCCAAGGTCACACATAGGTAGTAGGGAAAAACCAAGGGGTCACGGTATCTCCAATTCCTTCCTCTCGTCTGTCTCAAGAGCATCAAGGCATATACATGCCTGTCTGCGTCTCCGCCTTTCCGTCTCTCCTCATTTTATTTTGGTTGAGAAATCATGTCTCCAGTCCCTGTCCATCTAAGGGAATCTGTAAAGCTAGGTCCAGATAGTTGATCCGGGGCAGGGTCCCTGGTGACCCTTTCTCTTGTGGAAGAGACCTTCAGCATCTGGAGGCTCTCACAGAGAGGCTACGAAGAGCCTGTGTGGTAGAGAGAAGGTTCAACAGGAGATGGCCTTACGTTGGAACTCTGGTTCTTCGGTCATGAGCTGTGTGACTTTGGACAGGTTCCACACCCTCTCTCTCGGCCCCTCTTCCCTCACCTGCAGCATGGGGTTCTAGTTACAGGAGTTGTACCAACTGCAAAAGCTGGCACTCCTGACTTTCTGAGATGTGTAACTCTATGTGTGGACCTGTTCTGGGTGTAGGGCGTTTAGTGGCTTCCTTGGCTGCCACCTTCAAGATGTCAGTAACGTCCCTCATGCCTCCTGCTGTCGACTAGCCGACTAGGGCAGTGAAACCACCCGGAGTTAGGGGACGTTGTTGGGAGGAGGGTGGGGTGTTGCTGGGGAGACACGGGAGTGCTCTCAGCATGAGATGTGAGCCTGTCTCATGTCAACTACGAATTCAACCATGGCAGAAACAGGATGGGAAGGGATATACCCCAGTCAGCCCATTTTTGGGGTACACCTTATCTCTGGGTGGGTGGGGGGAGGGTCCTGACACAAGAAGGATAAGCCCAGTGGGGTACAGAGTCACATTCAGGTGTCTCCTTGGTCCACAGTTCAATTCCCACTGACCCGACTACAGCTTTTGTGGGTGCAGAAGGAGGTGGGAAGAACATGGGGTATGGGGAAGAGGCACCTTCCAGCGTTCCACCCTCCAGGACCTGCCTGGAGCCCAATGCTACAAGGTGTCCCACCGATGACAGTTGTGCAAGGTGTCCCACTGGAGTACCTGCTGCTACTGGACGCGGGGTGAGCGATCACATCCATTTCAGAAAGGAGCAAACTCGGGCTTGGGGGAGCTGCTTGGCCGCCTCTGTGGCTCATGATGGAGCTGGGTTGGCAGAGAATCCCAGCGCAGAGGGAAGGCCGTCTAATCGCAGTAGGGACAATGTTGACTTTGGCTCCCAGCTACAATGTGAGGCCTGCCACGCCTCACTCCAGGAACACAGCACTCAGCCAGCTTGCTGGCACTCTCCAGGGCTGTTCTCCCCCACCACCAGCTACGAGTAGGAGACCCACACTCCCACGCAAACCAGGAATCGGAGGCCGCCCAGCAGGGAGACGACACCCCTACAAATCCAAGTTCTCAGAGTGCAGGGTGGTCCTCCTCCAGGAGCCTTGGACTTGAGACATTTGCTCTGAGGCATCCCTCTCACTGATGCAACTGACCCCTGGCTGCCACAGGCTGACGTCATACCTGGACAGTGTCCAAAACCAATCACCTTTAAACTCTCGACATTTGCTCACCTGAAGGTCACTGGCCACACCTTCATATGGCAGCCCTGTGACTTCATTTATAGTCCAGAAGGGAATACTAAGGTTCTTTATGATGTGTGTCTACCATGCAGTGGGTCATGGGACATGATGAAGCCCTTCCGGCTGTACTGAAGGAAGCGCTCTCTCTCTCTCTCTCTCTCTCTCTCTCTCTCTCTCTCTCTCTTTCTCTCTCTCCCTCTGTTTCTCTCTCTCCCTCCATCTTTCTATTTGTCTTTGTGTTTTGTTTGTTTTTTTTTTTAGACAGGGTCTCTCTCATGATGTAGACCTGGCTGACCTGACCTGAAATTTGATATGTAGCCCAGGCTAGCCTTGGGCTCAGACTCCCCGCCCCCCACTGAGCAGGGATAGGAGGTGTGTGCACACTGCACCCAGCTCCTTTTCCTTTTATGAAAATTAAATGTATGTATGAGTGTTCTGCCTGAACACCTATGTCTGTGCCTGGAAAGGCCAGAGACACCGGATCCCTGAGGTCTGGAGTTACAGATGGCTGTGGGCCCTGCAGTGCCCTCACCTCGAGAAAGCCACATCCTGATTTTCTTTCTTTTCTTCCTTCCTTCCACCCTTCCACCCTTCCTTCCTTCCTCCCTTCCTTCCTCCCTCCCTCCCTCCCTCCCTCCCTCCCTCCCTCCCTCCTTTCTTTCTTTCTTTCTTTCTTTCTTTCTTTCTTTCTTTCTTTCTTTCTGAGACAGGGTTTCTCTGTGTAGCCTCGGCTGCCCTGGAACTCACTCTGTAGACCAGACTGTCCTCAAATTCACAGAGATCCACCTGCCTCTGCCTCCTGAGTGCGCCACCATCGCCCAGCCTGTGTCCTGATTTATTACTCTCAGAAGGACCCGCCAGCTTCCCATTATGAACTCTGTTTGCACAGTCTCTCCGCCACCTGCGTTCACGTCCCACAGCACTGCTCAATTCTCTTAGGACCCGTCACTGTCCCCATGGTTAACTGACATCTCCAGTGCCCTCTAGCCTCCCCAGCTACCAGCTGTCCCCTGGACCTTCTCTCGGGCTCTAATGGGGCGTTGTCTATAGACCAAGAAGGAGAGGCTGGAACAGCCCTTCTGAGCTCCGCCCTCCCCACAGAGAGGGGAACACACCTGTTTCACAGCTTCTGGGCTCCAGACATTTCCCAGAGGCTCTGAGTCCTGCCTCAGCTACCCAGAATAGCCCCAAGGTGTCAGGTGGCGCCTGGTGCCGGGGTGTGGGGTAGATTCATGGGAAATGTCACCAGGATTGAGTTTGAGGCCATTGCCCTGTGAACCTAGACACAGAAGCCATGGCTGCATTTCGGCCAGCCACCAACCCTGGAGACTGTGGCTGTGCTGGCCTGGTCTGCTGACCTGTCCAAGGAGCTTGGGATGCAGTGTGAAGAATTGCTCTGGGGACTGGGAGAAGAATGCCACTCTGCCGTGGATGCTGCAAGCTCCAGCTCTGGCCCTAGAGAAAGCTCGGGGCCTGTGGGGCATTTACCCAAGGTGCAAAGGGGAGAAAGGCACAGAGGCGCCAGTGTGTGTCCTTCTCCCTCTGCCAGACCTTAGCAGGAAGGGTGACTGTTCCCTCCCACCTTTCTCTCCCTCACCCCCACTTTCCTCAGTAAAGTCTATCTCTAGGGAAAAGTAGAGCCCAGAGAGGGTGGTCTGCTTGTCAGGGCCACACAGCAGGGTTAGACACAGAGATTTGGCCAGGGGCTCCTTGGTTTGTTCCTGTATTTCAGGATGAAGTCCCTCCAGACAGGGTAAGAGGAAGGGAGAAGAGGCCTCCACTCAGCACCCGCTGTGTCTTGGCCCAGGCTCTTTGCACACATCACTCTCCGAATCCCTGGAGGCACCATGCTAGAATGCTCTGCAAAGTCCCCTTTTTCAGATGGAGAAACTGAGCTGGGGGTGATGGATTGGTGTAAGATCACCATGAGATGGACAGAGGAGGCCAAGCCACAGCTAATACCCGCCTGTGCTGAGGCCAGGGTTCTTAGTGTCAACGTGGGCTTAGACAGCCCTAGTGAGGTACGCTCAGACATGCTTCTGTGGGGCCAGGCCTAGTGTCTAGGGATGTTCAGGGTGTCCCTGCCTCAGAGGTGCTGCCTCTAATCCCTCAGAGTGGAGATTCCAGAGGGAGGAGAAGGTCAGGTGGGACATAGACCAGAGACATAGGTTCCTGCTAGTGGAACAGAAAACAGACATGATTTGAGTGGATTTCAATCAGCCTGGTTGTTACAATGTAAATGACTGAGAGGATGCGCTGCCAGGGAAGCCACCGCTGCCACCACCACGGAGCTGTATCTCAGCATCGCCTCTGTTTTCATTACTTTTTGAGACAGTGTTTGCTTAAGCCATCTGGGTGGGCCTTGAACTGCTCTTTTAGCCCAGAAAGGCACTGGCAGTCTCCTGCCTCAGCTTCCGAGCAGCAGGGATGACAGATACATGTCTCCAGCCATGGTTCCCTTTCTGCTTTAAAATAAATGATTTATTTATTTTTTATTTTCTGTGCTCTGGGGTTTTGCCTGCATGTATGTCTGTATGAGGATGTCAGATCACGTGGGGCTGGATTACAGACTGCTGCTACGTGGATACTTGAATTGAACCCTGGTCCTCTGGAAGAGCAGCCAGTGCTCCTAACCACTGAGCCATCTCTTCAGCAAACGTTATTCATTTATATATATTTTTGGGATAGGGCTTATGTAGCCCAGGCTGGCCTTGAATCCGCTGTGTAACAAAGGCTGGCCTTAAAATCCTGGTCCTCCTGTACCTGTCACCCAAGTTCTGGGATTACTAGTGTGCTTCCACACCCATATGTTTTATGTATGTGTGTGTGACACACACACATATATAATTACATACACACATATACATATGTATTACTGCGTAGGAGGGGGTATGTGTGGAGAGGTTAGAGGACAGCTTTTGGGAGCTGGTTCTCTCCTTCCATCTTGAGTCCTAGGGACCAAACTGAAGTTGTCAGGATTTATCTGCCAAGCCCCCTCAAACGCCCCCTTGCCTGCTTTGTATCATGGAAATGATGGCGCTAGCTGAAGACAAACTGTTTCATTAATGTCGGCCTTTCCCTCTCACGGAGATAAGCTTCCATTCTCCTTATTGTCCTTGGGGCCAAGGGACACGTTTTACTGTCCCACGAACCTGACTCACGGGCCTCATGGCGGTTAAGTAGCCACAGAGGAGTGAAAACCGGACACTCCCCAGATGGCAATGGCCGATGGTGGCAGCTTCTTTGCCTCTGGCAGTAGGGTGTCACCAGGGCCACACCTGAGCTCCCTCTGAGCCTTGAGCTCACCCTCGGTCTCAGGTGGAGGACAAGTCTGATTACCCCTCCTCTGATGATCTCTCTGCCTGGGTCTCCTCCGTGCACATCCTGAGGGTGTGCCAGCCTGGGTTACCTCTGACAGGTGTCTCGCTGCTGCCCTCCCCCACTGCCTTTGTCCTCAGGTATCCCTGGCTCTGTGGGATTGGGTTTCCTGGGAGAAGTCATCTGAGACAGTGGGTGCTGTGTGTTTACAATGCTGCTCAGTCACATGCCAGGGCTCACGGCATGCTGGGGCATCAGGCTAACGCTGGGGAGGCTACAACTCTCAACCTCCACCTCCCCGTCACCCCAAGGCCCCCTCACTCCTGGGCTAAGAAGCCTCAGGGTACAGAGGGAAGGACAGGGTGACAGCACTCAGGACCCTGGGGAGAGCACTACCACTAAGAGTCCTCCAGCCTCCGAAGGGACACGAGAAGAGAAGGGGGGGGGGTCTCACAGTGAAGCACCCATTTTTAGAGGAAGTTTCACGACTCTTAAAAAATGAGGTAACTGATGTAACTTGGTGCCCTACCATTTCGTGTTTTTTTTTTTTTTTTGCTTTTTCTGAGCCTCAGTTTTTCCATCTGCTTAATGGGTGTAGTTCTAGTGATTCTCCTTACAGCAGCTGAAAGGATAGATTGATGTCTTGATGGATAGACATTAAGGTCTGAAGCATGGTATACAGTGGGTGCTCAATAAATGTTCTGTGTTTATCTGCCTCCTCTTCCATTTCCTTCTTCTCATAGCATGCACCCTAGTCCTCTATAGCAGTGAGTCAGGGGACAGTGTTCGGATGGTAGCTCCCACCACTGTCAATGTTTAACCACAGCTGGATGACAGAATGAGTGTCTGGATTCCTTCCAGCTTGAAAGCATCAATAAAGATAAAATCTTATGTGCAGCAGGGACTGAGAATCCGGAAAGGTCACATCTCTGGGTTCTGCTCAGCCCATGGTGTCCCTGACACCCATGGCAGGGCCCTGCAGGGGAAAAACTGAGGGAATTGTTTCATGTTTGGGACTTGACCTGCCACACTGTTGCTGTGTGTGACTGTGAATGAGTTTCCTAACTTCTCTGGGCCATGTCATCTTTTGTGGATCAAATGAAAAGCCTGGACCAGATGATGTAAGGACCCCAGGCTGCATCTCTGTGCCCAAGCTGGGGCTAGGATGGCGGTGAGGATTGTCAGGAACAGCAGTAGCGTCTGGAGACTCCAGGCTGCAGTGTGTGTGTGTGTGTGTGCTCGTGTACAGGTGTGGACAGAGGCTTTGGGCTTTTCTCTTTCTCTCTGCAGCCCACGGAGCCTGTGAAGGGGACCCCACAACACACCTCCTCTACAGGAGTCCCCCTGTCTCTCAAGTCTCAGGGTACACATGCACTGCTCTGAAGTTCTCATTACTAGAAGCGGCTACCGGAGGCGGTGTGCCACACTGAACCCCACCCTGAGTACTTTCCCGGCTCCCCCAAAGTGAAGACCCCAGCACTAACTCACCAATGGCCATGAGGAAGAGCCCCGCCTGGTCAATGGGGGCGCTGCCCTCCTCTTCATAGTAGTTGACGGTGACCTTGGTGAGAGGCACCATGGGGACAAGAAAGAAGGCAGAGGTCACAGGTTACAGTGAAAAGGGAAACAAAAGACCAGGAATAACCCCCTACCTCCCAGCCCGTGAGTCCTCTCTAGATGCAAGGCCCCCTCCTCCAGGAAGCACCCTGGGCTGTTGATATGTTTCTCACAGGTAATCTAACCAGAGAAGGGCTCCTCTCCCTTACCTGACCCGTGCCCTGGCACACACCCCGCCCCCCTGCCCTCCTGGGCTCACGCCCACTGCGCTGTGTGTCTAGCTCCAGCCAAGCCCCGGGGACTTGTTCCTTCGCATGGCACCAGGTGCCAATGCTGCAAATGGCCTGGAGTAATATTCTTGAGAGCCCAGAGTGGGGACAACTGGCTTTGGCTGCATCATCTGGGCAAACCATCTCACCCGCGGTTGCTCAGCGCCCCACTTTACAGACATGAAGTCAGAGGCGCTACACGTATCATCTCTAATCAGAAATAGCTAACGTCAACACAGCAATGCTCCTATCTCCGCCACTTAAGTGCTGAGATTGCAGATGTGTACCCCAAGTCCTGGCCTCTCTGCATGTGTGCATTCTGAACACTCTCACCATGTAGCTCAGGCTAGTCTGGCACTAATGAGGCTGTCCGAAGTTTGCAGCAATCCTCCTGCCTCAGCTTATGTTTCCCTCAGCTCTCTGAGTCTTCCCTCCTGCTTCTCCCCTTCTTTCTCCTTCCTTCTTTCTCTCCTAGGAATTAACCTCAGGGCTTCACATATACTAGACACAAAATGACTGAGGTATATTGCTGGTACTACTTTTCATTTAAAATATTATTTTATGTGTATGGGGTTTGGCCTGCATGTATGTCTATGTACCACGTGCATGCCTGATACCTTTGGAGGCCAGAACAGGGCATCGGATTCCCTGGAACTGGAGTTACGGAGGGTTGTGAGCCAACATGTGGTTGCTGGGAATTGAACCAGGGTCCTTGGGAAGAGCAGCCAGTGCTCTTAACCTCTGAGCCATCTCTCTGGACCCCAGTTTTCCCTTTTTGAGATAGGATCTCATATGCCCCATGCTGGCTAAAGCAGGCTTTGAGCTCTTGATCCCCCTGCCTCTGCCTCTTAAGTGCTGGGGTTACAGGTGTGTGCCTTTGTGCCTGGCCACCCAGTTTCCCACGTCCCCCTGTCCCCCCCGCCCCCGTTCTGCCCATATAGCTGCTAGGGACCAGAAAGCACCATATGGCTCCCACTGTTTCTATGGCTTAGGGTGGTGTGTTCCCATCCCACAAGATTCCAGCATGGCTTTGGGCTCCCTCAGTCCTGGATACTGTCTTCCTGGCCTTGGTACCTTGTCGCTGCTGGCCTCTGTGCTGGCCTGGGCCATGCTGAGCCGCAGTGTGGTGTTGGGTGACAGGGCCCAGCGCTGCTTGCCATTGGTGACCACCTCCTCTGCCTCTCCGTCACGTACGACCTCCACCTGCACACCCTCCGAGTGCTTCAGGCTGAAGGCTTTGGCCCCAGCCGGGGCTGCACTGTAGGAAGAACAGACAGAGTCAGACGGAGCCTGGGCTAGGCGGGACAAGGGTGTCAGCAAGAGAGTTCCAGAGGGGTAGGCCTCCCAGGCTGTGTGGTCTGAGGGACCCAGATGGGCTCAGCTGTGCTGCCAAGACCAGCTGATGGCAGGAGATTGTGAAAACTAGAGTCCTGGGATAATTTTTCACCTGCTGAGTTGGAGTCCAACTGTCTGTCTGTCTGTCTGTCTCTGTGTGTCTCTGTCTCTCCTCTCTCTGTGTCTGTCTGTCTGCATCTCTGTGTATGTCTCTGTCTTTCCTCTCTCTATGTCTGTCTGTCTCTCCTCTCTGTGTCTGATTCTTTCTCTCTCTCTCTCTCTCTCTCTCTCTCTCTCTCTCTCTCTCTCTGTTGTGTTACAGACTGAACCCACAGAAGCTAGGTAAGGTCTCTGTCACTCAACCACGCCTTCAGCCTTAGGATCAGAACATTTTTTTTGTTACACAGGATATTTTTATGCCACTCACACTGGCCCCAAAGTTACTATCCTTCAATCTTAGCCTCCCCAGTGCTGAGATTTTTAGGCATGTAGCACCACACTTAGGCTCTGATTCATTCATTCATTCATTCATTCATTCATTCATTCCTGAGACATGGTCTCTTGTGGCTCAAGGTGGCCTTGAACTTGCTATGTAGGTAAAGATGACCTTAAACTTCTGATTCTCCTGAGTCCACCTTCACAGGCAGGATTACAGGCCTGGCTTATGCTATCCTGGGGACTGAGCCCAGAGCCTTGACCATCCTAGGCAAGGACTTTACCAACTGAGCCATACCCCCACTTTAGGTCTTGAATGCTTACTGGGTTCTTGATGCTTCTGCAGATGGGCGACCACCTATGGGAGCACGGGGCTCTTTAGGGTGAGTGACAAGTCTAGACAGGATGGTTTTATTCCAAAGATAGAGCTAGGCCCAAAACCCCCTGGTGCCACTGGGGACTTATCAGGAGGGGTCCTGGAACCAGGCTTTGTCTCAAAGATCCCCAGGCCTGGATGGACTTCCTGACCACTGAAGGCCGTATGCTGGGACTCATGCATGGCTTCCTGCTGAAGGAGAAGTGGTTTGGGGACTGTGAGAACTAAGCAAGACTCAGGATAGGGAGGGCATTGACTCTCGCTTCCGTCTAGATACGGAAGTTTATGTAGGACAATATATATGCGGACATTCTAACTCAGCGGGGTGGTGTCTGGAGACCTTCAGGAGATGGGGAAGGTTTCGGGGGGGGGGCATCAGGGGCTCTAATCAAATATGAATGGTGGCCTTTTAAGAAGTGAGAGAGAAAATAGAGGGGTGCAGGACAGCAGGTGCCAGGGCGGCCAGGGGGTGGAGGTGCCAAGACTGGCAGTTTGGGTAAACCAGGTTTGAAGGTTCCTAAGGACCACAGTGGGTTTGGAGGGTCAGTAAAAATTCTTCTGGGATTTGAAATGAACGCAGTGGAGGCCTGAGTGTGTCTCAAAGGCCTGGCTGCTGCTAGGGACAGGGGCAGCACTCTGAGGTCCAAGAGTCTCAGAAACACTGCACACTGTTTAAGTTTTCAGGCATTTTCTCTCTTTTTCCTCTTGTTCTTCCTCCTCATCCTCCCCATCCTCCCTGTCCTCCTCTCCTCCTCCTCCTCCTCCTCTTCCTCCTCTTCTTCTTCTCTCTCCATCTCTGTCTCTGTCTCCTTCTTCTTTGTCTTCTTCTCTCCCTCCTCTTCCTCCTTCTCTTCCTCCTCCTCCTCCTCCTCCTTCTTCTTCTTCTTCTCCTTCTCCTTCTCCTTCTTCTTCTTCCTATTTTTCTTTTGGACACAGGCTTTCCATATGTAGCTTTACCTGACCTGGAATTCACTACATAGACCAGGCTGGTCTTGAACCTGCTCCAACTCTCGTGCTTCTGCTGGGAGCGCTGGGACCACAAGCTTGTGCTGCCATGCCTGGACTTAAGTCTTCAGGCCCCTCCCCCATGCCTACAGACTTAGGGGTCCCATCCTCTGCGAGGCTGCTGGCTGTCAGGGCCAGGTGAGATTCTCAGCTGGTGATGAAGCAGGAGGCGGGGCTCAGCAAGAGGTTTAAGCTTGTGACTCTCAAATGTAGCAGCAGCAGCAGCAGCAGCCTTCTTGACAGCTTAGACGCTCTGTCCAAACAGAGACTGCCGAGTCCTAAAAATATTCTAGAAACTACTGGGGCCACAGTTTGAGAAACACTGATGTCATCTTCCGCAGCGTGGTCTTGTCCTTCTTCTAGCCCTGGGGTGGGCCATGGCGGTGGCTGGGAGTCTGCAGAGCCTGCCAAGCACCGCATTCTGTTTGTTTTCCGAGACAGGGTTTTTCTTATCCCCTAGCTGTCCTGAAACTCACTTTGTAGACCAGGCTTCCTGCCTTGGCCTCCCAAGTGCTGGGACTAAAGCCACCACCGCCGGGTGAGCAATCCATCCGTGGTCTTTCGGCTGAAATCCAGCGGAGGGTGCTAGAGCCCCGCCCTCCTTGAAACGAGACCACTTCATCTGGCTTTTGTATCAAGTTTCCAGGGGCAGGTTTTCTGAGATAACCCAAACCACACCAAAAGCAAGATCCCCCAGGACCGCACTCGGCCCCGTGCCTGCCTCCATCCCTCTGATCCAGTAAGAAACCGGAGAAGCCACATCAGAGCTCCGGGCCCCAGGCCTCCCACATCCCTGCACCAGCCTTGCTAGAGGCTGAGCAAACAGCTATTCTTGGAGCCCTGGCAGAGGCCACAAAGGCGCCATTGTCCCCTGTGGATCCTGTTGGCTGCCTCCTCCCCTGTGGAAGATCCTGTTAGAATATCCCCTGCAGAAACCCAAGCCTGGGGCTCCAGATGGCTTGGGGGTCCCTAGAGGCTGGGGGACAGTATTGAGGGAGGGAAAGGAATGGGATGGGGTGGCTTTGACCTCCTGGCTTACTGGAGAGAGCATGCCTGGGACAGGAGGCTCGCCCTGAGACCCCTGTCTGCACTGTGTCCCAGCACCAGGAGGGACAGTATGCTGGGACATGAATGCTTCTTGATTAGCTTTCCCAGCTGGTACCAGAGCATTTTATACATTTATTAACTGTGTGCGTGTGTGTGTGTGCGTGTGTGTGTGTGTGCTCGCGTGTGCACGCACACGCATGTGCAGACCAAAGACTGATGCTGGTCCCTGTGCTGATTTCAGCCTTAGTTTTTGAGATAGGGTCTCTCACTGAACCTCTAGCGAACCGTTTTGGCTAGACGGGTGAGCCCCTGGAGCCCACTTGTCTCCGTCCCCCAGTGCTTCAGTTACAGATCTATGCTGCTGAGCCCGGCTTTTATGTGGGCGCTGGGGATCTGAACTCGGGTCCTCATGCTTGCGCACAGGCATTTCCAGCCCCTCACTGTGCACTGTAGATCTTAACACATGGAATGCTGTTCCCCCAAATCTGCACCTCTCAAAAACCTGCCTCTCCATGAGGGGATCTGGGCCTCTGTTGCACTGCAGGCTGCATCTTCTTCCTCATATTGTTTCAGCTCGGGCCTGATCCAGGCTCGCAGTCAATAAAAACATTTGACAGAGATGGGGCTGGAGGAGGAGGGGCCGGTCACACGGTCTTTTATTCACTCAACACACATTTCGTGAGCATTTACTATGTACCAGGGAGAGTTCTGGGTTCTGAGGAAAGACGGGCTAGAAAGACAACACATCTCTTGCCCTACGGAGTTTATATTCTAGTGAAGGAGAAAGGCTTTAGTAGATTGTGCCACTAACTGTGACGACGGCAGCAGAAACGCGAAATTGCCAGGCGCGGGTCATAGCTCAGTAGAAGTGTGCTTGCTTGCGAAACACTGACCATGCATAACGGTTCTGAAAACATGGGGTGTGTGATGTCGGGGGCTCTCAGACGGATTCTCTGAGGAAGTCACTTTTGAGCTCAGAGTCTAAACGTTATTCAGAATTAGTTAAGCCCGTGGACCTGAAACCCAGCATCAGCTACAGGGCGGTACAGTTCTGTCTCAGGAAGATTTCTTCTCAGCTCCAAGCTGCCCTGATGCTATGGGACCAGGAGGCCTGACCTCGAGAAATGGGCAGAAGATGAGTGTGGGTGGATCTGTGTGTGCGTACACACACACACACACACACACACACACACACGTGTGAGCTTGCACATGTGCATACAGGAGGAGGGGAGTGGTCGTGATTGGGGAGAGAAGACCCAGACACGGCAGAGCTAGCCTTTCTCCTGACGGAGGGAAGTCACCAAGGGCTTGCAAGCAAGGAGAGATTTTAGAAGAAAAAGAATGGAAGTATGGGGGGCGTGGCTAGTAAGTGAGTCTGGGATGGTTGCTGCCATGAGGGACGGTGGTGACTTAGGGCTGGACGGTGACCATGGAAACAGAGAGAAATGGCTTCTCAAATGCTGTGTGGCTTCTGGGGAGTCGCCCAGCCTGTCTGATATTGTCTCAGAACATGGGAGAAGGTCTCAGGCGTAGCCTGGCAGGGCTGAGGAGCCCCACAGAATGCCACACTGGAGGGTGTGATGTGCCTGTTCTTTGCTGGCCTCTGGCTCTGTTTGTCCATTTGGCTTGGCCCTCATTAACACCAGGCGGGGTTCATCCTTGGAGTGACCCCAGCTCCTGGCAGCCAAGGTGTGACATCCTGCCCCTGGGACTTTGGAGGAGTTGGAAGGGGGAGTTGTGGGTGCCAGCCTGGTAAGCACCCTCAGGGACAGAGGGGAGGTGAGGGGAGGGAGATCTCAGCCCAGGCCTCACACCTAGTCTTCACTATTGTGGCGGCCAGAGTCCTGAGGGCTGGCACTGGCCGAGACGAGGCTGATCGAGGCAAACCTTGGCATGTGTGTATAGTTCACCTGCTTCTCTACCTGGTTGCCCCAGGAACCTCTACCACAGGGTGCTGGTATACTCTGCAGGAGGAGACAATCTAATCTCCCTTTCTCAGAAGCCTTCCAGGACCCCCTCCTACCTACAGAACAACATCCAGCCCCTGAGTAAAGCTCTCC